ACGGTACAGCTGGCCTATGTTTTCATCCGCCAAGTCGGAGGGTCAGACCTCCGGGACACAGCCCGGCGTCAATGCCGGCGGTCCTGCACGTTTTCATTACCTTGTAAAGGTGTCGGAGGTTCTGCCCTCCAGGACACAGCCCAGCGGAAAGGCCGGCGGTCCTGCACAATCACCGTTGCCCATCTTGCAAGGAAGGCAGTCCCAGGTCACGGTACAGCTGGCCTATGTTTTCATCCGCCAAGTCGGAGGGTCAGACCTCCAGGACACAGCCCGGCGTCAATGCCGGCGGTCCTGCACGCTTGCATCACCTTACAGTCTAGTGATCATGTCGGCCGTACTGTTCTCGCCCGTCACGTTGTAGGCTGTGGCCTACAGGACACAGCCCAGCGGTAGTGCCGGCGGTGCATCGACACGTAGAGGTTTTGACCTCCAGGACACAGCCCGGCGGCAATGCCGGCCGTCCCGCATACCACCCTTCCGTCCTTACGAGGCACTGGCCACGACCCAACAACTAGCCAAGTAGCGACTAGGCCGGTGGCGTTGACCACTACACTGTCAAGTTGGACGGACTTGATTCTAGGACAGCCCGGTGGCAACGCCGACGGTGCATCTTCTTATCGATTCGTTGGAGGTTCTCACCTCCGGGACACACTCCGGCGGCAGCGCTGGCCGTCCTGCATACCACCATATCCAGGTTTACGAAACATTGGATACGACCCAACACCAAGCGGTTCGGCCAGCGGTGTCGTCTCCACCTGTCCCGGCGGAGGTTCTGACCTCCAGGACACAGCCCGGCGGCAATGCCGGCGGTCCTGCACACCTTTCTTGGGTATCCAACAAATCTGGCCTCTCTTCTCTCGCTATGTGCCTCTAGGACACAGCCCGGTGACAATACCGGTAGCTTTGTTCTCATTCGCTCACGTTAGGAGGGTCTGGCCTCCGGGACACAGCCCGGCGACAATGCCGGCGGTCCTGCACAATTGTCCTCATGGGGCATGCTCACAAAGCCCTGTTAGTCTTACAAGGGTGACTTGGGTCCGCTGGCCTCATCCTTGTCCTCGGGAATACCCCGTGACACTGTTAGGATCGGCGGGCGGTCCTAACCAAGTCGTGTTCGCACGGGGTCTGCCCAGCGTGTTCCGGAAGCGCCTTTCCGGAGCACGCTGGCTTCAATCACGCGGGCATTGTCCCCAAAACGGGCCCGCCGACAGGCCCAAAACTCCTTGCACTGCCCCTTTGAGGCAACAGATGCTGACTGAGGCGGATAGGATTTTGATTTCGGACAGCCGCCGCAACTTTCCGCTTGTATGTGGATTCATGGAACTTCCTAGCCCAGTGGCGATGCCACCGCAGGGGTCAGGAACGACCCCGTACCAGTTTTGGTGCGCCGACCCGGCGCTGCCCATGCAGCAAGCCTTTACGGCTGACGTTTGCACCGACGGCTCATGTTTCAAGGGCAGCCCGTGCACGCACCCTGCGGCAGGATGGTCAGTCGTCAAATTGACGCCTGCCGGGGAGTTGTTTGCCGCACTCTGGGGCGCCGTGGGGTCGGATTATCCCCGAACCTCGCCGGCAGCAGAGCACATCGCAGTGCTTGCCGTCATGGAGCATTGCCCCCAGGTGTCCCTTATATACTCGGACTTCTTAGGCCTTGTTGCGATGTCTGACGCGCCCTGGCACAGCGTGGCAGCCCGTCAACACTATTACGCGGGCCTCGGCGTACAGATCCGCGGCTCCCCCAACTGGGGCGCAGACTTCCGCATTGTAAAGGTCCCTGCACATGTTGATCCAGCCTCACCCCCCCAGGTCTCACCTGACTGGTACAGAGCCGTCGGAAACGACTTAGCGGACAGATACACTAAGAAGGGCGCTCTGTCGCCACCTCAGCCTTCAGAGGCCGAGAAGAACAGCTGGACCGAAGAATCGGCAGCCCTTCGGAGGTACCTGCTGTACGCAGTGTAGGCGCTACTCCTCTTCCCCAAACTGGCCCCCTCCAAAGCCATGCGCTGGATTTTCGACAAATCGCGCAGGGAGGCAGGCTTTGTGACAGGAGTTGGCGCCGCACGTCAAGCGCTCCCAGTCCCACCCCCGCCCCTTCCCCCCCCTCCCCGCCCTGCCCTCAATCGTGCACCAGATCGCCGGCCGCGCGGCCCGATCCGAGAGCACAGTTGGGCATGGAAGCGCAACAGGTGGGTATGCCGTGTTTGCTTGACTTTCGCCAGGGGGTCCCAGAAGCCGGCGCCGATCAGCAGCCCATGCAGAGGCCATAACGAGGCGTTCTCCCAGCTAGTCCAGAACCCCCGCAGGCATGTCCTGCATATTTCCAATCGTTGCTCTTAAGACGTATTGCAGCAGCAGTGGCTAGATAAACCAGTGGTGCAAGCTATCGTGTCCGCCGCCGAATTGGCACGATATTCATTCCTCTCAAGCTGCATTGCAGCAGCAGTGTTCAGGAAATCCAGTGGTGCAGGCATCGTATCCGAAGCTGCACCGGCACGGAAAAGGAAGCGGCACCGCATGTGCAGTAGGGGGAGGGGGATAAGGGTTACGAACCTCCCCCCCTCGATCCTGCTCGTTTGCACCCTGGGCCCTGTGCTCACAAGGATGGGCACTCTCTATGGCAGGAGGCGCCGAGAGACTCACATGCCACAGAGACGGTGCGCGACGCACTGCCCGTGACACTCCCGGCGCATAACTTGCATCCGTCCCAACACTCCAGCGCAGCTTCCGTGGGCCATCCAAGCCGTCGGCACGACCGACGACGTCTATTTTGACCAGCGGTCGTGAGACGGCCATCGCCCTTTTAGCTCGCGTCGCCCTGTTGCCCCTAGTGGCGCTCCGCTTTGCGGTTGAGCAGGTTTCCTTTCCAGCCGTAGGCTGACGATCAGTTCTGCCAGGAAGTCGACCAGTCGTCATCCCTGCAGTGGCGAAGAGCCCGCGTCAGAGCAGGGCACCCTTGACACCCCGTGGAGAGGTACCCAGCCGAGAACCGCCGGTTCCCCCTGGTCTCCCCCAGGGTGCGGTCCGCTCTTGTGGACCAGATCCCCGGTGTCAACTTACAGCGGCAACAGTGGCGGCAGTGCAGGGGGGAACCGCACCGTTCATCCTGAGGGTCGACCCGTCTGACTTTCGAGCGGGCCGCCGTATCCCCCCTAGGATGGCGATCCGACCCGCGGTGGCACAGATCCCCCCCGCCCCCCGCCCCCCTCAGGGTGGCGCCCCGACCTGCTGTAGAGCAGATCCCCCATCGCCGCCCTGCTGTGGAATGGGTCCCCCAGTCACCGACAGGATCGCGATCCCTCCTCCCGTGGAGCAGGCCCACATGGCGCCACCAGGGTAGCAAGCCGTCTGACGTTATTCTGGGGGACTCCAGCGTCTGACGTTATTCTGGGGAATCAGCGTCTGACTCTATTCTGGGGGATGCCAGCCCATCCCCTGGCCAGGCGGTGTGACACGCTTCACGCCCTCTCACTGGCATGGTATGGCGGCGATAGGAGCTATCGTGAAGCTCCCCCGCCACACCTAACGGTGCCTCCAACGGTCCCCGCACAGGCTTTGGGACCAGAAGGTTGGCGTCACAACCTTCACGAGCACCGTTTTCAAGGATGGGAGAGCCTGCGTGCCCCACCCGATCTGAAAGGGTTATGCCTACCCTCAGGGGCATTTGCGCTACACTACGATCCTCCTCCTCGTTCCTCGCTCCTCCTCCTCCTCCTCCTCCTTCTCCTCCTCCTCCTCCTCCTCCTCCTCCTCCTCCTCCTCCTCCCCTTCCTCATCGATATCTTCCTCCTCCTCCTCCGCCTACTCCTCCTCGCTGCTCCTCGATCCTCCTCCTCCTCCTCCTCCTCCTCCTCCTCCTCCTCCTCCTCCTCCGCCTCGCTCCTCCTCCTCCTCCTCCTCCTCCTCCTCCTCCTCCGCCTCTCTTCCTCCTCCTCCTCCTCCTCCTCCTCCTCCTCCTCCCTCTCCTCCTCCTCCTCGCTGCTCCTCGTTCCTCCTCCTCCTCCTCCTTCTCCTCCTCCTCCTCATCATCATCATCCTCCTCCTCCGTAGCCATTTCGGCTCAAGCCATTGCGGCCCGAGCGTGGGCTCGGGCGTCCGCGCGCGCGACTCGCAATGGCGCAGCGCGCGGGAGCCATGTTGGCGTGACGATGAACCAGGTGTTCGTCCCGATCTCCTGCGTGTCGGGCGAGCTGGGGCAGCGCATTCGCCCCTTCGTGGAGGGGCTCGGAGCTTCCGTCATCCTCTTCTGCGATGGCGGCTCGAAGGACAAGCTGGATGCGCAGGAGGATGCCCCCCCAACGCGGACCTCACCCAGTCGTGCTTGTGGTGGGGCTGGCAAGCGGCAGGAACCTTTCCCCGAGGGCCTGGGCACGATCAGCGAGATGCCCTCGGAGGAGCTCTCTGTCAAGATGGAGGGGGAGGTGCCGTCGGCAACGGACAGGCACTACAACCGCTTGACATTCGAGAGGGAGAAGAAGGCACGTCGGTTGTCCTCGGACCTCTCGTGGCAGCACAAGCAGGTGGTGGACTCGGACGTGCACCAGATTCGGGAGGCCTTCAGTCTCGACCAAGACCTAGTGGAGACCTGGCCGACAATGGTGGCAAGGCCGTTGGTGGCGCAGACCCTGGGCAGCCCCACGGAGAAGGACAGCTCGGAGGAGGACACTCAGAGCCGGGGCGTCGGCGCGTCGGAGGTCGACCCCACGAGGATGCCCAAGCTGCTCCCTCGCCAACCGGTGGACTTCGTGAATGGCAGTCCCAAGCCGGCGGACAACTCGGAAGTGGGCACCGGGAAGAAGGCGGTATCCAAGCCGCGGCCCAGGAAGGCCCCGTGGCGACCGTCGGAAAAGGGGTTCACTGTGCTAGCGGCAGCGGGGTCCAGCAGGGAGGCCAAGAGGAGGGTCCCCTGGAGACTCAGCCAAGCAACCTTGGCGACGGTCTCCCATTACGTCGCCAAATGGGAGTGCAACTGCCTGGAGGTCAACTTCGGGTTCAGAAGCCGCTGCCGCAGGTGCAACGGGTGGGCGCCTGCCCACACCATCCTGCAGCAGAATATCCAGAAGGAGGCACTGGACAAGTTCAAGAAGGTCAGCTTCTCGGCGGACAAGGTCAAGATGGAGGGGCAGGAGGAGACCAAGGTAGTGAGCACGCCAGCGGCGCAGCACCCTCGCAGGTGGAGTCGCTGGACGACAGCATCGGCGTCGACAAGCTCGCAGACTGGTGGGCAGAAGGCATCGGATCTGAAGAGCCCCTGCCGTGCGGACCCGAGGTGATCGACATCTCCAGTGTCTGCGGCGAGATAGGGGACGAGATCGAGAGTAGCTCGGCCGTCAGCGTCGGCGGCTCGGTGGGCGCCCTCTCGGGCAAGGGCTCGGACAGCAAGGGCAAGCGCAACAGACGCAAGGACACTGACATTGCAGCTTCTGGCAGTAACGGCAAGTGCAAGAGCAAGGGCAGTATCAAGGGCAAGAGCAATGACAAGCACAGCGGCTACTGGGTGGAAGGCGTCTACTACCCCTCGGGAGAAGACATCCCGCTGGTAGTCCTCACGAGGCTCGGCGTGAAGAGGCTCGGCAGCGAGGACGCTCTCGCGCAGGCCCTCGGTGGCTGAGCGTGGCAGACGGCCGCGCCGTCCTTGTCGCCATGTGCTGGCTTTGTCTCGAAATTTTGGGCGCTGCCGTCGGGTGGCGTTTTCCTTGTCGTGGCGGCTGGATCCGCCTCGCTTCTGGCGCTGTCATCGGCTGGCATTCTCCTCGTCGTGGTGGCTGGATCCGCCTCGTTTTCTGGGCCTCCATCGGGAGGCGTCTTCGGGGCTGGCGCTCCTAGTCGCTGTGCTGGTTCCCCTCGTTCTGCCTGCCACTGGGCGGGTCCCTGGCGTCCCCCGTCGCACGCTGGAGCTTCCTCGGAGTGCCGAACCGTCCGGCCTGGCGCTGCGGTCCTGCATGGGTCGGGCCGCGTCGGGCTGCGTCCCAGGGCTGTTTGTCACCAGCCGTGTAACCGGAACCCTCGGAACCCTCCTCCTCCTCATCCTCGCTCCTCCTCCTCCGCCTCCGCCTCCGCCTCCTCCTCCTCCTCCTCCTCCTCCTCCTCCTCCTCCTCACACACACACACACCCACAACAAGAGCCCGATCATCCGAACAGGCCGACGCTTTAAAGTGCCTACAAGGAACTAAAAACCGCACGCGCCCCAGGATCACGGGAAGGAGGCAGGTAGGGGCAGAGAGCAGGACAAGAAAGAGATACGCCCATCCCAGCTCCTGCTGCGGCACCTGGCGCCACTGCTGGAGGGGAAGGATATACCCATACCAGTCGACTGGGCACACCCTTAAGGGCGTGGGCTCCCTGGGCCAAGGGATGGCTCCACGTGAGTTCACTCATCGTCCTCCTCGTCTCGTCCCCTATCGCCATTGGCGTCGTCGTCCACTCCACCACCTCCGCGACATGATTAGAAGTGCACCTCAGCGCAGGTGCTGTTTCGCATTCATGGAGGTGGGGTGGATGGAGGGGGCACAGACTAGCTAGGGAGTGAGGGACGGGCGGAGAGACAAGGCCCGACCCAGCTCCTGCTTCTTCGTCGCGGCCACACCGCGAGGCAAGAGGGGAACGGATGGACTGCCCATAACTTAAGTTACCCACCTTCTGCTAACTCCGCCAAATTATCCTCTCTCTCTCTCTCTCTTTCTCTCTCTCTCTCTCTCTTTTTGTTATCTCTCTCTCTCTTCTCTCTCTGTCTCTCTCTCTCTCTCTGAGACTCTCTTCTTTCTTTCTTTCTTTCTTTTTTTTTTTTCTCTCTCTCTCTCTCTCTGGGCAGCCCCTTACTGCGCTTGGGCGAAAGCTGGACCCTTGGTCAGCTCACCGCTCCCAGATCTGCTTTCCGAGCTGGATGGCTCGGAGCAAGTGCGTCAAACGTTACATGGCAAATACCTGCCTCTGCGCTGCGGCTGCCACGGTGCCGTGGCCAGGGCACCGCCCGCACCAAACTCCAGCTTCCCCCTCGCTCACAGCGGGGACTCGCTGGCTCGGGGCAAGGAGCGGGGGAGAGGATCCTCCGAATGGAGGACGAGAAAGGGCGGGGTAGAGGGAGGCGGAGAAACAAACTCCTCTTCTGAAACTCGGGCGGCCCTTCTGCGCCGACCCGATAAAGTCTTCACCGTGCTTATCCCTCCACACCTCTCCTGTTGCCCCTCCAACATGCTACCCAACACCACCTCAGAGAGCACATGCGCTGCTGCTGGGAGGCGGGGTGGGGAGGGGGAGCCTGAGATGGGAGGGGACAGATGAGACAAGAGGGGCGCTGGGAACTGGAGTGCAGCATTCAGATTCCGTGGCTGTATGCTACTATTATCATCTGCACCTTCTGCCCTGCACATGTCAATTCATAATGAGTGAAAACAGACGCATCTGCTTCAAATCACGATTGCTGCTCACATGATACTGCGTTAGCTGGAGGCCCGATTCCAGGAATGCCTGTTCTGTCCAAAATGCGTCGCCTGCGCATCAAAATACTGCTTCTCTTTGGCTCTCACGCTCCACAGTCGGAGTTGCTCCTCCACTTTTTGGATATGTACCTTCTGTAAGGTTTGCTCTTCCAAAAGGCGGCGCATGCGCACGAAGAACTTGTAGTTGCCCTGAGCTTCGCAACTGGAGCTCCTCTGCACGGGAATGTCCTGAGCGATGCGTTGCTTGACCGCCTCCTAGACTACCATGGCCTCCCGCATTGTCTGCAAGGTACGGGGCTCAGTTGCCGAACCACAGGCGTGCGCAGCGCATGCGTGCACAAGCTCACCGTCGAACACCACCGAGCCACAAGTACAGCGCAAGCTGCTGGGTGGGTACCTTCATGGGCTCCCAGGTGCCGAACCAGTTGCCTGGCGCCACCCGTCCGTCTGGGTAGGCTGGGGCGCCTGCAGACAGCTGTGCTGCATGAGCACCGCGGGCTTGGGCGGTGGGAGGACTGGGGCGGGTGGCGCTGTTCTCCCCGTCCTCCGCGTCACCCGCCTCTCGGCTCCGAACTTGGGCAGCTGAAGCCTGGGCCCCTTCAGCGCTCCCTGGATGGTCCCAGGCCCTGTCGTGTCAATTCTGACACCCGCTGCTACATAGTGGAAGGCTGCATCTCTGCGCTTCTTGCCAAAGATCGTGAACTCCTCGCCTGCCAGCAACTTCGCGAGGTCGGGCGCTACCGCAACCAACCTTTGCACCACCTCGGGCCTGAACGTGGCGGTCCCGAGGGCCTCAACCAGGTCGCAATACATTTTTCCCAACGCTTTACTTCCTCTTGCAAACGGCAGATCGCTGCGTCCGCGACTACCGTGGCAGCCTGGCGTCCAGCGTTGCGCTCCGCTGCCGTTTTCCTGGGACGATCCACTGGCGTGCCCTCCCGAGCCATTCTCAAGCTCCACGGCGGAAAGAACCTCCAGTCGCACAACGGGACATATCTAGCGTGCTTGAGCAACAAGGGTTTCGCCCGCTGGTGGGCGGCTTGAACCAAAATGGCTACGGGCTCCTCCTCCTCCTCCTCCTCCTCCTCCTCCTAATCCTCCTCCTCCTCCTCCTCCTCCTCCTCCGCCTCGCTCCTCCTCCTCGCTCCTCGCTCCTCCTCGCAACTCGCTCCTCCTCCTCTTCCTCCTCCTTCTGCTCCTCCCCTTCCTCATCTCCTGATCGCTTCCCCCCTCCTCCTCCTCCTCCTCCTCCTCCTCCTCCTCCTCCTCCTCCTCCTCCTCCTCCCCCTTCTCCCCCGCCCTTACTTCGGATACGCCGCACTTTGGTCGATGCTCAAATTCCAAGTGTGTCGGAAATGCACCCCAAACCGTGCGAACAAATAGGGCGAAACGTCCGCCGCAGAAGAATGGGGCATCTAATTCCGCAGGAACATAGCGGGAATAGCCACGGCAAAGCAAGGCGGACATCGACATCACAAGATCTTCAACAGTAGGGTGGATCCTTCCGCCCTAATTACGGCATCGCCGCATGCACGGCGGATCCAACGTCAGGGTTCTCCTCCTCCTTGTTCCACCACCGCCGTCTCCCCCGCATGTTCTTTCCACAACTACTCAATATGAATGCGACTTTCTTCTCTCCCATGAAATTGTCCAGAAAATAGCCCGCCCCCATCCGCGTCCTGTTTCCCCACGCAGGATTCTCATGTCCGATGGTTGTTTCCAGGGGGGGGCATCTTCTAAATGGTGGGGCCTATTTGAAAAGACCGAAAACCATGCCGTGGCACGGCGCTGGAAATAATGACGCCAGCGCTGCAGCGGGAGCACGATTCGGAACGAGCGGAAGCGCGGAAATGAGGCCAGCGCTGCAGCGGGAGCACGATTCGGAGGACGCGCAGCCTGACATAGCATGGCGTGGCGACGCCCCAAAGTGGGGAGGGGCGTCTGCGACCCCAAAAATCAACGAATCGACACCGAATCTGTATGAACTTCCGATGTTTTTTTTTCGGGGCGGGGGGGCATTTTCTAGATTTTGGGGCCTATGTGGAAGGACCGAAAACCATGCCGTGGCATGGCGCTGGAAATAATGACGCCAGCGCTGCAGCGGGAGCAAGATTCGGAACGAGCGGAAGCGCGGAAATGAGGCCAGCGCTGCAGCGGGAGCACAATTCGGAACGAGCGGTAGCTTGAAAATGAAGCCAGCGCTTCAGCGAGAGCAGCACTAAACAAACAAACAAGCGAAAAGCCAACTCCCAGGAATCTGGCTGTTTGTTGTTATGGTTGTGTTTGTTTTTTGCTGTTAAAAAATTGCACGCGGAGGGGGGCCGAACATTTCCTGGACGTCACCACGGCGGAGAGGAGAGTAGTATTCATATTGTGTAATTGTGTGTAATTGTGTGTGTGTGGGGGGAGGTTTCTTAGAAGCAGGGGTGTTTCTAAGAAGCCTTCCCCCCTCCCCCTGCTCCCCTCTGCGCGTGGCCGACGTGGCCAAGAGCGGCGTCGACGAAACCCCGCGACATTCTGGATGGCCCTGGCCAACTTGTTTCTTCTCTGGGCACTCCTCCTCCCTGCACGGCTTCCGCCGGGGCCGTAGTCGACCCGAGGAGGAGAAGCAGGAGGAGGAGGAGGAGAAGCAGGAGGAGGAGGAGGAGGAGGAGGAGGAGGAGGAGGAGGGGGGGAAGGAGGAGGAGGAGGAGGAGGAGGACGACGAGGAGGAGGAGAGAGGAGGAGGACGGATCGCCTGAGCCCTTCGGAGAAACCCTCCACTCCACCCTCCCACCCACCCCCAGCTCGCCATCGCTGGGACCTCCATTCCCCGTTCCTTCTCTGGGCGCTCCCCCTCCCCCCCAAACCGCCCCGAGCCTGCCATCGCTTGGACGCCCACTCCCCGCGCACTCGTTCGGCGTCCTGCGTGCCTCCTTCGCGGGATGCTCCTCCGTGCTCCTCGCCGAGAAAGGAGCAGGCACACGTCCGAGCGACGCCGGGAGACACGCTCGCGCGGCGAAACGAAATACGACGGGAAGCTTGTGGCCGATTTCGGCCTCCGGGGGCCCTCGCGGGGCCCCAGTGCCGTCAAGGAACGACTCGCGACGGACGAAAACTGGCCCCGGGGAAAGGGTCGGAGCTGCTGGGGGCCCCGTGGGGACAGAACAGCGACGTCGCACCTCTGGGGACGCCCTCCCGCGAGAGCGAACGAGCGAACGAACGAGCGCCGAGCTCGAGCCGCGCGCGTGCGCGGCCGCGTGCCCCGAGATTTCGGCGGGAGTCGGTCGGCCTGACTCGTCAGAGGGCCCCTGGAGGAGCTGTTTTCTTCTTTCCCGTTGCGAAGGCAGACGGCGACAAAAGAGACAATTCGTGCAGAACGCACGGGCGTTGACCTCGGGCGAGCTCTCTTTGCTAGCGGTTCCGCCCAGGCGTTGTCGGAAAAAGGTGAAACGGCACTTCCACAACAGCACGCAACACGCACCTCAGTGGAACAATGTGCCATATAATTATTAAAGCGTGCGTGAACCAATCCATACGAGACCTCGCATATGCTCCACCAACTGCTCGAGCACCGCCTCAAGTGCACGGTGCACCGAAGCAATGCCAATGGATATATAGTCTATAGTGTGATTTCACCGTCGCAGCATGACAAAATGTATAGCATCATCTGCGGGCTCCCATGGAGGCGGAGGAAACGGAAGAGGTAGTGGACGCAACAGAGTTCGCTCCCTGCGCGCACCAGGACCAGGTCGGCAGGCTGTGCAGCTGCGACGGGCAGAGCCCGAAGAAGGCCTGGCGGGGCTCCAGAGAGCTGGCGTCGTGCGTGTTGTCCGCGGCGTCGCCGAAGAGCTCCTTGCACCTCTCCACGTCGGCCCGGGTGAGGCCCACGCCGCAGCGCAGCAACGACCCGTCGTAGATGACCCACTCCGAGTAGGTGTGGATCAGCATCACCCGCGCGGTCGCCGGAGGCAACACGCGGCTCCCGATGTACTCCTCTCAAGGGGGGGTGCCGAAGCGGCGCGTGGACGGACCGTGCGGCGACCCCATCGGGACCCCTAGGAAGACCTCACCGCGCCGTCCGCCGCCGCACCGTTCTGGGACCCCGGAGGCCGCAGTAGAGCGACCCCCCCGTCCCAGAAAACCGTGCGGCGACCTCGGCTCCCCCCGCCGCCTCACACTGGACGGTGTGACCCCTCCGCGCCGTTTTGGGGGGCCCCCGCTCCTCTCTGGACGCCCGAAATGGGTACGGAAAAACTTGGCACAATGCCCAACAACACATGTTGTCCCAAACCGACAGCGGCCGCTGTTGAGCAGGCGGCCTTCCGTCTCAAATGCACACCGGCCGCGGCGGCGCGGACAGCGAGCCCTGCTCAAAATGCACAGGAACTGCCGCTGGGCATCGTGCCCATTCTTTCCGTATACTCCAGATTTCGTAATAAAGGGAGGGGGGTCTCATTTCGGGGGGGGTCTCTTCCAGGCTATCTTGGAGGGCCTGGCGGGGTCTGGGGGCGATGTTTTGGAGGGTTCTCCCACGGGGGAGGTCTGAAATGGCTTGTCTTGGAGGGTCCAGACCCCCCCCCTTTTATTACGAAACCTGGAGTACCCGCTTCGCTCGTGCCGGTCCTCCACCGCCGCGGGGGAGTCCATGGCCTGCCCGTCGAGGGACCAGGCGCCCCGGAGGGCCGAGATGAAGAAGTCCTCCAGCAGGAGCACCCGCAGCCGCCCCGCCTCCGCCGCCGCGGCCGCGGCGCCGCCCCGGGACGTCAGCTCCGCGACGCAGTTGCCCATGGCCCGGAGGCGGCCGCTGGGCGTCTCCTCCAGCGAGCCGGTGGTGGCGTCGAAGGAGAAGGCGCGCCCGAGCCACTCGGTCAGGGAGCGCTCGAGGTCCTCGAGGCGCCTCTTGTAGCGGGCCGCCTGCCAGGTGGACGACAGGACGGTGATGGCCCGCGGGCCGGCCATGCTAACGATCTCTGCGAGGCGCCCCACGAGCACGTCCGAGACGTGGGAGGACCCCTGGGTGGCCAGCTTGGCGAGCGTCTCGCTCTCGCCGTCGAGCATCTTCTGACAGACGGCCATCAACGTCTCCACTGTTTGGCGCTCCGGATGGTTTTCGCGTTTCGTCCACATGGTTCGCGCCAGCCTGATGTTCGAGTCGTTGAGCAGGATAGGCGTTCCGCCGTTGTCCTTGGCGCCAACGTTCAGCACACCGTCGACGTCGACGAAAATGACAGTGTCGACGTCGCTGGGGAGCCTGGTCTGGTGGGGGGGGCAACTTCGGTCGGGCTCAGCGTGTCGCAGCGGCGGCCCTGGCGGCGCGCGTTTTCCCTGCGAGCGGATAGCATGTCGCTCCGCTCCGTGGGGCGGGATGCTGGGAAACGCTACTCTCCATCGCTCGGACGTCCATTCCCTGTGCATTTTTCGACTTCGTGCGTGCAAGCGATCCAGGATGCTTCTCGATGGTCCTCGCCGACAAGAAAAAGCGCACGTCCGGCCAGGGGCGGTGAGGATTGGAAACGGGGACGCGGTCAGCGTGCCGCGCTGGAGCGTGGTGGGCTGGAACCTGCGGAGCGACACGCTGAGCACAGGCTCTTGAACGTTCCGCCTTGCACCGACCCTGGCGAGACCAGTCCTCGGCACAGGATGATGGGTCTACAGGTATGCAGCATACAGGACGTGCGATCCTCCCACTCGATCCTCCTCACCCTCCCACTCGATCCTCCTCATCCTCGATCCTCCTCCTCATCCTCATCCTCGATCCTCCCCATCCATCCTCGATGCTCCCACTCGACGACCGAGCTTCCAGGCCTGCCCAGCGCGGCGGGCGTGCCGGCGCCGGGCCCAGAGCTGGCCGGGACCGGGATCGGCGCCGATGGACACCTGGAGCCCCCGGGAAGCCCCCTCCTCTTCATCGCCGCTGTCGCCCGGCGGCGAGCTCAGGGGGGGGAGATGAGGGGGGGCAGGCCTCCTCTCAAGGGGCCCTGGGACACAGAAATAGATGGGCACAAATAACAGGACCCCCCATATTTTCCTACGTTTCCTGGGTCTTCGTCTTGCCCCCCACTGCCCAGAATTTTTCCCATCTCGCTCTTCCTGGGGGTCGACTCGATTCCCTGTGTCCGTGTGTGTTTTGTCTCCCCCTCTTGACTCTCACGGAGAAGGCGGGGCGGGGCCCCTCGAGAGCCTCCCCCGCCCGCCGTCGGAGCAGCCCTCCGCACCTTCTCCCCGCGGGCGCCCGGCGCCTCCCCCGGGAGCAGCGGAAAGGGCGCGTCGGAGAGGCGCCCCGCCCGCCCTTCCGGGGAGGCCTGCGCGCCCCCTCGCGCGGTTTCCACCCCCCCTGGGGGTTCGCCGCCGACCCCCCTCCAGGGGGGAACCAAAAAAAAAGCCCGACGCCCATGACCGAGAAAGGAATCGAGCTCTGCACACCGACGCTCCTCAAGGGGGCCCCCGGGACACACCAATGCATGCACACACGACACTGGATTCCCCCTATTTCCCCTATGTTCTGGGTTTCTGTCTTCCCGCCCGATTCCCATATTTTCCCATATTTTCTTGCATCATCTTTTTTCCAGTATCTGCTTGAGGAACGGAGCCTGGCACAGGACAGCTTTGGCAGGCGGCAAAGGCCCACGGCAAAAGAGAATTCTGGAGGCAACGGGCTGGCATTGGGAGCCAGAAAGACTATGGAGCAGGGCTGAAACGGAACTGTGCGATGCAAACTCGTTCAACAACGTACATGCATCATCCTTTTTCCAGTATCTGCTTGAGGAACGGAGCCTGGCACAGGACAGCTTTGGCAGGCGGCAAAGGCCCATCTACAACAAAGCACAGTACCCATCAGCAAGCATTGCACTGGCTTAGCCGTGAAGCAACACCCATTTTCGGGAAACCATCCTGGCGACAATCGTTTGCGAGAACATTTGAGCAAGTTGTTTGCAAATGGCGTCGGGATAGGCGGCCTTTTGGTGAGTGCGGAAGTGAGTGGCGCCGCTTTCCTTCCCAGACAGCTCAAGATGAGGCTGACCAGAAAACTCACACACACCACGGCCATGACACTTCATAGACAAGAGAGAAGGGGAGGGGCGACAATGCAAGAATTGGAACTTAGTGCGAGCTCGAAAGGGCCGACCTGCAGCACACTGGTCAACAATTGCTTCGAAGAAGAAAGGAGAGTGATGCCGGCGAGTTCTGTCTGGAAAATGCCAAAGCCAACTGCTGCAGGGATTCTCTTCACCGACAGGAATGCCAAACTTTGCAGCTAGCTGCCAGATCTGCCCCGCTCGGGAGGCGAGCAGGTTGCCAAGCTCAAGCTTGGCCTGATCGGCAGCAGCTAAGTTTGGCAAGCCAAAGATGTGAGAGCCGTCGCGAAGGCGCCGAGGCATGCGAGAAGTGGGGCCGCCTCGTCGCGCTTGAGAAAGCGACCCACAAGGCGTGCCCATGAAAATAGCCTTGACTTTGCCGCTGGCAATCCAGCCGCGAAGCACAGCCCACGGCGCAGGCTGGGCAAGATCAAACTCTTGCCCGTGCAGGACATCCCATTCAATGACTGCATTCCCTGCCTGTCGCAGGTGTCGCGCAAGGTTGCCAGAGCCACTGAAGAGTTCAATGAAGATGCGGGAGTCATGACCTTTGCTACTCATCACCGCTGAGGCGAGTACAGCTTGAAGGCGGCGTCGAGTCCAGCGGCCAAATGTTCGATCTCCTGCCGCTGGTGGGCTGGAATCTTCATCCACTCGATCGACACTCGCCCGTGCTTGTCGTAGCGCCGCGCGCTGTTGAAGGCGCGCCAGTTTCCTCGCTGCTGCACCTCCATTAGCGCGCGGCTGGCCGTCAGGCGGTCGTGGCTGGCGCCGCCGTGCCTGAGGCTGTAGAGCGTGCCTGCTAAACAGCTGGCTCCCACAGCCTCGAGCGCCTGGCCAAACCGCCGCTGGAGGAGGTTGTAGTCGAAGTCCCACAGCGGGTGCCAGGAGCCCAGGCGGGAGTCGCGTAGGCGCGCCAAGGCCCGAGCCAGGACCTGCTGGCGCGGGAGGTCGAGCACAACGGTATGGTCCATCTCGCCTGTCTTGCCCGGTTGCTGCAACTCTGCAGCATGCACCACTACTGACATGTGTGAGCCCGCGCTGGTGGCCGAGCCGAAAGGGCCGGTGATCTGGGCGGCCCGCAGCGCCAGCGCCTCCGAGGGTCTCAGGTAGCCCTCGAACATCAGCATGACGCACAAGGCGGTCGCAAACTCGCCCTGGTGCCCAAGCCAAGCTGCCGCTGCGCGAACCACAAGCTCTGGAAGAGGCGGGCGCGAGCCTGGCGGATGCAGGCGCTTCCAACCCGCCAGCGAGTGCGCGAGCTGCGGGAAGCATCTCTGCAAGGGCGCCACGTGGAGCTGCGGGAGCCCCCACAGCACCGCGGCGCCAAGCCTTGCAGCCGTCGCCCGCGCCACTCCCTGGTCGAAGGCCCACAGCAGGAAGTCGGCCAGCGCTGCGTCCCAAGCAGCCACGGGCCAGTCGGGCAGGGCGTCCACCATGAGCCAGCCTGCCAGCAGCCGCAACACCTTCAGGTAGAGCACCTGAGTGGACGGCCGCACCTTGTTGGCTGCCAGAAAGCCCTGGCGGGGCAGCAAGCGGGCCCGCTCCTGGGCGGAAGGCGGCGGCAGCTGCGCTCTGCTCCTTGCGGATCCGCCACCACCAGCGACTCGCTTCCGGGTCGGCGAAGCGCCTCCCACCTCTGGCAGGCTTGGCTGGCCGAACGGCGGAGCTGCCTGGAGCGTGCGGACCTCCTGCATGGCCACTGCCGCAGTGACGCCTGAACTGGTCCCCGTGCTTGGGCCAATACGGCTCCGGACCAGACTGGAACCGTCTTGACGGGCCATCAGCAGGGTTGAGCTCTGAGGGGTTCCATCTGAACGTGACCTTGAGATTGCAGGCGACCGATATGGCATAGGAACAACGGCAGCCGGACAAGAGACCAAAGTCGGATACACGACCCTTTTCATGGGCGCAAATCATCGACATGTTGTCGCCCAAGCCCAGCAAGCGATGCCCGTGACATCTCGAATTGCGAGAGGCGCGCCGCAGCCAGAGAAGCCCTGCTGAGCTCTCCAGCCTGTGGATGGTACTTTGGCGCCTCCATCTGCATGCAACAGCCGTGATCCAGGTCGCCTCACGCAGCAGCTCTGCGCTCACCTCGGCGAAACCCGCCGCGCGCCCGAGCAGGAGTGCGGCTGGGTCAGAGAGCTCGATGCTGTCGGCGGCCAGGGCAGCGTCCCGCGGCGCCACCAGTGAGGCGAGGGGCCCGCGAAAGCGCAGCTTCTCCGGCTGCCTGCCAGCGGCCTGCACCGCGCTCAAAGGCCAGCGCGCAGTGCAGACTCCCGCGCCCCAAGGCGACGCGTCAAAGGCACCTACCTCAGAGTGCCAAGGCCTCTTCATGTCGGCGAACACCGTGGGCAACAACGCAAGCACCCACCTGAGCTCGCGTCGGCAGCTGGGCCACAGCGGCTGCGCCCTGTCGTAGGTCGAGCGGATGAAGACGTAGACCGCACTGAGGAGGCTGAGAGCCTCACGCCGCAGCAGCAGCAGCGCGACCACGTGCCCCATGAGCCTCTCCAACTGGCGCCCCGTGATGCGCCTTCCCGGCTCCAGCATGTGCGAGATGCAGCCGTGCACCCTCCAAAACTTCTTGGGTGCGGGGCGCCACCTGGCGGCCCTAGAGTCCAGCGTGAAGCCGAGGAGGGCGACGTCCAAGTCAAGCGACGCCCTGACGCCCTCACTGGTGAACGAGCCAAGCATGTCGTTGACAACCTGCAACGCTGTCTCGCGACTGGTGCTGATGGCCGCAAAGTTGTCTATGTACAAGACCTTGGCCGCAGCTGAGCTGTCCGAGAGGCACGTCCCAGGCTGCTTGTCCACCAACCACTGGTTGTTCGGAGAGACCGAGGCCAGCACGTTCAGGTGGGCAGACTGCACAAAGTGGACGGCCCAGTTCCATCCCATGGGAACGACTCGCACGCGGAAGGCTATCCTGGGCCGCGCCGCAAGCTCAGGCCCCAGGGGCAGGCAGCATGCGAGTCGCCAGGCTCGGCAGGCAGAAGTAGTTCCTGGCCCATGCGGGCAGCGCGTACTGGTAAAAGCAGACCTCCACGTTCCACGTCACCCGCAGCCAAGTGCACCTCCTCGCCGGGCGTGCACTCCGAGCTGCTGAGGGCGTCGCCGGAGGCCAAGTGCGTGTACTCGGGCGCCCTGAAGTGACAGTTCGCCCTCCTGGTGTCGAAGATGAGCCTCAGCTTGTCGTCTTTGCGAGGCACAAAAAAGACGCCAGTCTCCTCCTTCCGATCCAGCTCATAGTCCAAAACTTTGACGATCCCTGCATCGTAAAGCTCGAGCAGGAACCGTCCGTAGTCAATGCCCCGTTGGGCCAGCTTGCCGTCCACGTAACACGTGACGTCAGCCTCCTCCAGAGCAGCAGTAGCCTCCTGCTCCGAGCGCAATAACCCGTGCCCGGACTCCAGCGCTGACTGCAGGTGCGGGGGCAGTAGCCGAACAAGATCGACACGCCCAGCACCGCCAGAAGGAAGGGAGACCCTTCCGCGCTGGTAGCCGGCTCTCGCCCCGATGGCTGGCTCATCAGCATAGCCAGGTCGAAGCCCCAGAAGCGCCTGGAACGCCTCCTGGTTGGTGCAATCCTCAGTCTTCGGCGGGACCGCGGCGTAGACCTCACCCAGATGCTGCAACGCGGAGCGCTGCGCCAAGCTAAGCCGCCCGCCGCTGCCAGCCAACCGCCCACCCCCACCCAGCTCGTTGAGCGCCGCGACGCCTTCCAGCATCCAGCGTTCCTGGCGCCTGCAGCGTGCGGCCTTGCGCCGCTGCCCCAGCGAGAGCTCGCCGTCGAGGGCCGAGAACCCCTTCAAGCACTGGAGCGCCTCCGAGCTGAGCGGGATGGGCAGCGCGTCCCTTTGCGTGAGACTGTCATCGCCAAAACCCAGCGAGGTGGCATCGTCGTTCAGCACGCCTCGCCCCCCCTGCAAACTCGCGCCGAGGCCGGGGGCACCCCCGGCGCGAGGGGGCGCCTCAGGCGCCACGGCCGCGGCCGCGGCCGCGTGCCTTAGCCTTGGCACCCGCCGATGGTTCGCCAGAGGCCGCGCCGCCGTCGACGCCGCGCTCCAGCAGCCTTTCTTCTCGCCCCTTCCTGCGCTCCTTGAGGATGGCACTTTCCTCTCGGAGCTTCTCAGCCACCCAGCTCTCCAAGGCGGGGCAGACAAGCGCCGAGCCGCGGCTCCTGTCCTGCCCGAGGAAGATGGATCGCTCATCGAGCCAGGGTGCAGCGTCCTGACCAGCCTCGGCTTCGCGCAAGCTCGAGGCGTACAGCTCCTCCCAGAGCTGGTAGCGGCGGCAGAGGATCTCCACCACCACCAGCTCGCCAGCATTGAGCTGGTCGTAGGTGGTGAGCTCCTGCAGCACCTCGGAGATGAAGTGGTGGTCGTCCACGCCCGAGTCGGAAGCTGTGAGCCCCTGGATCGACCTCCACCAGAAGTGCCTCTGCAGCGGCGTGTAGCCCGCCTCCGAGATCTTCTCGAGCAGCCAGGCCGCGGTCCTCGGCCCCTTGATGCGCCAGTCTGGGAAGGGCGTGGTGGACATCTTGGCCACGGCGTCGTGGAAGGACCTGGAGCGGCCGCCAGCTGGCGAGTAGAGCACCGGCAGCGTGCGAAGGTCTCCCCCACTGCTGGAGAGCGCTGCCGCCCCTGCCTCCAGGATGTTGGCCACTGCGACCGCAAGCGAGACGCCCGACGCCAGCACCACGACCCCGCGATCGCCCAGCACGACCTGCGGCTGGCCATCCGCTCCCAGGAGCTCAGGCGGGATAGGGGCCCCGGCCGTGAAGCCCCCACGCGTCTCCGCCGAGAGCCAGACCGCGTCTGCTGGCGGCGCCGCGGGCCGCGGCGGTGCTGGGGCGAGGAGAGCGCCTGCCGCGGGTGCCCTAAGCGGCGCGGCCGGCGCCGCCGCCAGAGCGCCGGCCGCAGCCGCGCCTCCAGCCGCTGGCTCGGCGGGCCTCGCGGCGGCCGCCAGCGCCGCAGGGGCCGGCGCCTCGGCAAGCGCCTCCGCCTCGCCGTCGGCGAGCACCCCCTGGTGCGCCGCTGGGGCCGGCAAGCCCTCCTCCTCGCGGATGTCCAATGCCATCTGCGCCGCCTCGTCGCACAGCTGCTGCAACTCGGCGCTGAGGCGAGCGTTGTCCACCCGCAAGATCTGCCCCTGTGGCCTCGGCACGGGAAGGCCGCCCCGAGGACCCAACGGCAGCAGGCGGAGCGCCTGGGACATATCCTCATCATAGATGTCCCAGTGCGCGGTGAGCACCACGAAGCGGAAGTCCTGAATGTGCGCCAGCATGATCCTCTCATGCCAGTAGTCATCGCGCGGATCGTAGTAGGCGAGGGCCCTCGACCCCACCTGCAGGCTCTGCAGGCAGCGCAGCGTGCGTTCTGCTGGGCTGCGGGCCGCCATCCAGTCCTAGTCTCGGCGCACGCGAGGCCCTCTTCCACAAGAACCCGGCTGTCGCTGCCGAGAGCACACCTGCGAGCAGCCCCGCAATGAAGGTGCCCAGCGCGAACGACGGCTCGGGGCACTGCAGCAACGGACAGCTCGGGCACGCAGGGCAATTGAGCTGCTCTGGACCGCAGCGCTCCAGCTGACGTCCCAGCAGACTCACGATGTCGCTGCTGACCTGGCAATCCGCGATGCAATGGCAGTCAGGGCAGCGTGCAACTGAAAGGAGGGGGGCCCACGGAGCGACGGCCTGCAAGCCCCGCAGGGCCAAGTCCATGAGCCAGAAAGACTATGGAGCAGGGCTGAAACGGAACTGTGCGATGCAAACTCGTTCAACAACGTACATGGGGATCGACGATGAAGTGTGTCTGTGTGCTGTTTCCTCTCCTGAGCTTCTTCCGGCCCTGCATCTGAATCTGCACTGGAGAGCGGATCCTGGTGTATGCGGGGCCCTGGCGTATACACTTTTCGCTGCTTCCCCGGGACATCGGGGGAAAAAGTAGACACCACACCACCCCAGCGTCGTCCTCGACCCTCAGGAAGTCGTGGGATGGAAAAACAGCCCGCCACTGGTAATGTATATGTTCCAGTTTCGGACAAGACTGCGCGTGAAGACATGGGTGCCGATCTTGATCACCGTCCGTCGTGGTCAGCGCCACTTCGTGGATCCCCCTAGCGAATCGGCAAACGGCTGGCATGGACCATGACCAATGTCGGCGTCGGCAGAACTCCGCGACACTTTGGTCATGGTCAGCGTATGTCTTCTCTGGGCACTCCTCCTCCCTCCGACCCGCCTCCAGAAAATCATTGGGGCATGGGCTGGCGGCGAGCGAGGGGGGAAATGAGAAGGAGAAGGCCTTCTCGGAAGGCGGCGGGACTTCTCAGAAGCCCTCGCGCCTTCTGAGAAGTTGTTTTTGTCTTCGGGCAAAGCTTCGAGAACTCTTCAGAAGGCCCGGGGGACTTCCGAGCCTTCTGAGAAGGCCTTCTCCTTCTCGCTTCCCACCCTCTCTCGCCGCCGATCGGCTGTACGTAAGAGTGGCCCTGGGTAAGAGTGACCTTTGGTGCGCGGCTTTTGGGGGACCGCGGGGGGACCAAACCTGGGCGCGCAAGCAGCTACTGCTGCTTCGTTTTCGGCCATCTGGGGACCCATCTGTGCCCGCACCAAAGGTCACTCCGGCGAAGGGTCACTACGTCTAGTCGAGTCGAAGGGGGCTGTGCGCGGCCGACCCGGCCGATCTGGGCAAGCATTGCCCCCCCCGGGTGCCGCGGGACGGCGACTATCGACGCATCGTTAGCGGCTGGCGCGTGCCCGCATACAGTCGGGGCGTTGACCGAAGGAACCCTAAAGAAGGAACGAGGCCCCTTTTTCCCATACGTTAAGCTTCGAATTCCGACGGAAGACCTGAGGAAAACCTGAGGCGAGCTGCAACACAACTAAGGAGCACTGCGCCCCTCCCAAACGAAAAGGCTTCCTTCTTCAGCGCGCCGACTGTGCTCCAGATTTCGTAATAAAGGGAGGGGGGTCTCATTTCGGGGGGGTCTCTTCCAGGCCATCTTGGAGGGCCTGGGGGGGTCTGGGGACGATGTTTTGGAGCGTTCTCCCACGGGGGGGGGGTCTGAAATGGCTTGCCTTGGGGGGTCCAGACCCCCTCCCTTTTATTGCGAAATCTGGAGTACCTTTCCTGTTGGGTTTGTCATCGCGGCAGCGCTGCAGTCGGACCTGGGACAGAAGAGCATCCCTCGAGAGCATGCGGCCCTCCGCCGGCCAACGCAAGCAGAACCTCCAAGAGTACCCTCCCGCGGGTGCACGAGAACGTCCAACAGGCACGAAGAACATGAGGGTGCCCTCCCCGAATCGACCTCGATCTCAGGTATACCTCGGTCCGGCTGTAACCCGATGACACGATGTCGCCAAATGAAATGGAGCAGGAGAGTCGACGCTGCCCCGCCTTGATTGGATCAAGATTGTGCTCCTCCTACGAGCAAGGGCGCGAGAATGTGGTGCTCTGCCGGAGCTGCGAAGACGCGAACACTAATGCGAGAGGGCGACTGTGCAAATAAGTGGGCACGGGCAAGATACCCAGGGGCTCCCGTCCCCAGTGGAAGTTCTCGGATGGGGTCCAACCTGACACAGCACCTAGTTAGAACAACACGATTTCCCTGGAGCACCCTTAGAACCACCTTGCGATACTTCCCCTAAAAAAACACGCGTCCCTTCAGACCTTCGCCTTCTCAATCCCCCCAACCTCACTGAACTCTTCCGTTTTCTCCCCTCTTCCCCCTCCTCCTCCCCCTCCTGCTCCACGCGCCTCCTCCTCAACCTCTTCCGCCTCCTCCTACTCCGCCTGCTCCCCATTTCCCTCGGACCCCACCCCTCTTCTCCTTCCTCCTCCTTTTCGTCCTTCTCGTTTTCCTCCTCGTCGTCGTCGTCCTCTTCCTCCTCCTCCTCCTCCTCCTCCTCCTCCTCCTCCTCCTCCTCCTTCCCATTCTCCTCCTCCTCCTCCTCCTCATCCTCCTCCTCCTTCCCCTCCTCCTCTCCTCCCCCGCTCCTCCTCCTCATCCTCCTCCTTCTCCTCCTCGTCCTCCTCCTCCGCCTCCTTCTCCTCCTCCTCCTCCTCCTCCTCGCCTCCGTGTTGCGGAGTGGCCAAGGTCTTGCTAAGCAATCGCCAGGCTGCTCCGCGCGCTGAGCGCAGGTTGTTGGTCTATCACTGGGGCACGACGCCGTGCCAAGCGGGCCTTGCTGCTGGCGCTCGAGGTTGTACCTCGGGTGGGGATCCGTGTGGCGTGAGCTCGTCAGGCCCGTCAGCCGACTGGGTTTGAGACATGAACTACCCAGAGCCCGCACCGCTTCGCCCCGTTTGCAAGCAGATGGTGATGCAGCCAGTGTCGAATGATCGCTCCTGGGAGCCACATCGTACCCAGGACTGCCGCGTCCCCGTGATCTTTCTCCCGTGCTGTCTGGTGGCAGGAGCCCTCCGAGGCTCGCGCTCTTCCGCCCGAGCGCGGGGAAGGCCTTGAGGCGAGGTCCTGGCACCACGGCAGACGGTCGTAGGCCAAGTGGTCGATGTGCTCCCCCCCCACCGCCCGGACAAGGGGGTGAGATTATGAACCTCCTCCTCCTCGTCCTGCTCCTCCTCGCCCTCCCTCCTCCTCCTCCTCCTCCTCCTCCTCCTCCTCCTCCTTCTCCTCCTCCTCCTCCTCCTCCTCCTCCTCCTCCTCCTCCTCCTCCCACCGCGGCCCCCCCGTGGCCAGTCGTCCTGCGTGGACTGATGCTGCAACTTTCCCGCCGCCGCCGCCCTCCAACCGTGGACGCCTCACGGTGTGTGTGGAAGAAGGGGCTGCCAGGGCCAGATGCAGTTGGCCCCCCTCCCGTGGCCCTTGATGACTATTTGATGCTCATTCTGGGTACCTTCTTGGAGCCACTCGCTCCACTCGTGTGTCGAAGCTGCGTCGAACGTCCGTCGACTTGGGTCGAACCCGAGTCGAACTTGAAACGAACCTGAGTCGAATATGATTCGAATCTGAGTCGAGCTTGAGTCGAACTGGAGCCGAAGTGGAGCCGAATCGAATCATCAGGTGGGCCCGTAAAGGTCCCCGAAACGAGCATCGAATGACTATGTGCAGCTCTCCTCGGGCCGACAGCCGCGAGAGCTGGCGGCCATGATGCCTCGCGCCGTGCTGACAAGGACCGCCGCCGCCGCCGCTCCCTCGCGAGGCCGTGCTCTTTGCGGTTGCCGCCCGTCTGGGGAAGGAGACTGGAGGGCGGGAGGGGCCTCAGTGCAGCAGCAAAAGAGAGGGCAGCGACTGACGAGCTACGCGTGTATCGGGCGGGTGGCAATGGTGTGTGTGTGTGTGTGTGACCCAGATGGGGGGGAAGAGAAGGGCCAAAAGGGGGCCCTTCAGGGCCCCTTTTGGAGCCAGCTGGTGCCCCTTCTGTGGGGCCCTAAACGGCCCCTCTAGAGGGCCTTTCTCTTCACCCCCCAGTTGGGTCACCCCCCATTGCCACCCGCCCGAGTGTAGACAGGCAGCAGAATCCAGCAACATCTCAGCCCGAAGCGCCAATTCCTGCCGTGCTTGTCTTCTCCCCTGCGAGCTACGAGCTGACGGTCTATGCCTCCTCCAGACGCGACCATTGCCCCATCCTGGCGGCATCATATGGTGCGCCAGGAGGGGCCATTCCCAAAAAGGTCCGAGCACCGTTGGTGGGGCTGGCGATGCACGAGGAGGGGAGAGACGGACGGACGTCCCGAGCGAGGGCGAAGGGAGCTCCGAACAGACGTACCGAGCGCAGGGGAGGAGAGGAACCGAAGAGAGAGAGAGAGAGAGGGAGATCTCCTCCCCCCTCCCCCTGGAGGCACAAAAACGCACCGATACCGCCACTCCACAGACCTCTCCCGGGAGCGTCCTGACCAGGATCTCGAGGCGAGTCCAGCGGTGGCGACGAGGGCCTCCCAGGAGGCCCAAAGAGGCGAACACGAGGCAAGTGCCGCGGTATGGGTACCTTCTCCTCCTCTGATCCTCCCCCCTTTTCCCTCGCTGTTCTCGCAGCAGCCACCGCTTGCTGGAAAGCATTACATACCGGCCTCCTCAATCAGGACGCACGCGTGCAGCTCTGTTGCGGCAGCTAGAGGTGCGTGGCACCTGTTCTCGCTGCCTTGAGCGACATGACGGCGTACAGCCGTTGTAACGCCAGGCTGAGTCCAAAAATGTTCTCCCCCCCCCCGGCCTCTCCGCCCTCCCCCTCCCCCCTTCTCCCCCCCTCCTCCGGCCCCCCCCACCTCCTCCCGTCCCTCGTCCCCCTACTCCCGCCCTCTCCCCCCTCCTCCCTCCCACCTCCTCCCTCCCCCTCCTCCCCGCCCATCGCCCTTCTCCCCCTCGCCTCCTCGAGCCGCCCCCGCCTTTCCGCTCCACGCCCCGTAGCACCTGGCGCCGCCGCCTGGCCGCTCTTCCGCCGCCGTCGCGCCGTCGCCATCTAACCATTGGGCCGCCATCGAGCGCGCGCGCGCGCTCTGGCGACGCGCAGAGACCGGCGGCGGCCGGGGGGCGAGTCCTCTCCGCCCGGAGCCAGAGCGGGCCGCGGGAGGAGGGATGATGATGATGATGATGATGATGATGATGAGGAGGAGGAGGAGGAGGAGGAGGAGGAGGAGGAGGAGGAGGAGGAGGAGAAAGAAAAAG